GCTTCTTCGCTTTTTATGACAACTGCGTGATGATACGGGTTAGATCATATTCTTACACCGCCACTACACGGTTATCTTAAAAGAAATATATGTGACAATCGTTTAACTCGATTTAAAACTATTTTTGACTCGTCAAATCAGGCTATGACATATAAACTAAAACTAAATCGTCTAGTAATAACGATAAACTATACGTTATAGTACGTAGACTATATATATATATATATATATATATATATATATATATATATATATATATATATATATATATATACCTAGTATTAAGAATCACAAAGCAAATCTATGTTGCAGTAGCTAACAATAGAGTAGGAAAAGGACGCCCTAAATGGAAGATTATCGACCAAATTGGCGATATATTTAAGATGAGAAAGATTTAGAGTCCCTTTAGCCGACGTATATGGATGTAAAGGAGGCGAGAGATGTGTGTCACGATTGTGCCAAATGGAATTCCGTAGTTTCTGCCCACCCTTCCAGGTGACGAGCGTGAGGTACCAACACATCTGAGTATTAAGAATCAAAACTCTAAGGGCTAAGATAAAATGTTTCTTCTCTACTTGTACTACATACTGCTGTTATAAAGTAATATTTAAACAGACATATTTATTTACCCACGCAAATAAAACCTATGTAGTGAAATCCAGCTGACATCAAAGTACTAGTTTCCTTTGTAGCAACAATGTTGACTTGCATTACTCCAGCTAAGCTTGACTGCCCGTTTGCGTTCAACATCACTTACTATGTAGGACCTTAACAAAAGGTTTCCTTTCCCACAGCATAAATTTAGCGTACTCTACAGATGCTTCATTTTACTGTTGTACCTAACTAGAATAACAAATGAGGTCTTGTTATTCAGCCGATGAAAACTGATTTCAAAGGAAGCTCTAACGAATAAAATCAATATAAATAAAAAAAACTAAGTATCTATGATCTTCTTCTACTTGAACAGTGTGATTACTAGTTTACTGTCAATAAGACTTTCAGAAATTTGTCACCAGGTATGCATTTATTGAAAGCGTGCTGCCCAACTACGCAGGTTGAGTGTAGAGCCATAACCATTTTTAAATAGTATTTTTCATCAAAATGACTAAGAAGTTTCTGTGTTAAATTCTTGCTGAAAACACGCTGTATAAGTCATCCATATGTATATGACACCTATTTCTCTGTTACACAAAAGGCTGAAGGTTTAAAGAGGCACAAATCATGTTTTATAATACATTGTAGCCTTAAGGACTACTATAGAATGCCTCGTTACGAAGAAAAGAGGTCTTCGATCCTCTAAACTTGACTTACGTAACACAACATCATTACGCTGCTATTTTACGCTGATATTTTTTATAGTATGAGGATGACATAAACGAGCTGCTTGTCAGACTGAGATAGAGAGAACTGTGTGGTTCACATGATGTCATGATCTACAGACATCTCTATCCGTCTATAACCGAGAATCAAAATGCAAATGCATCCAGTAAACAGGGTGACTTACCATACGTAACACAACCGCATTAATTTGTTGTTCAACGCTGGTATTTTGGGAGAACCTAGTCCGTTCCCGGTCGAGCTGAATTCATCCTGTTACAAACACAATATAACTGTAGGTACCAAAGAACGGGAAAGGCTTAAAGACTTAACGATGATCCAGTTAATACAAGAATATGCGAATTGCCAAAAGCCGGTCTTCGTATTGATGCTTTCAACATCATCATCATCAGTCCTTGCCATTGATTGCCTCACATGGGGTATGTTTCACAGTTACCTATGGCAGGCGAGTTTGCAACCGCTGCGTTTTATTATTTTGAGTTTAGGAAGAATAGATGCTGCTGTTTACCTCCTTTATTTGCTCTATCGCAGCTTAAGGCAGCTAAGGGATAAAAAGTGGGTGGTGGATTCGCTTACACAACCAGTGTACACTGGCACTGTACACTGAGACTGTACACTGACACTGTACACTCACACTGTACACTGGCTTTGGATACTGGCACGGCTTTTAATCTTTCAGAAGTCACAATTCTTTTGAAGGCTTGTAGTTGATAGATATTCTTAAGCTGCTCCATACTTTGTTTTTTACTTTTAGACTAGTTCCTAAGCCAAAAGTTTACAGTCTGTGGGCAATTTTTATCATTCATCTGTTGACATCGACAGTTGCATATAAATAAAAATATTTCTCCTTTCTTTCATTATCAAGAGACCTACTCTGAAAATTAATTTTAGTCTGTAGAAGAAAAAGACATTCATTCCCAAAATAAAGTTCTAAGATTAGTGTAAGATTATTTTGTAACGAACTACTGCGGACTTATTAAGCAATAAAGTAATTTTTGCGTAGTTTAAACGTATTTAAGGGCCTATATTACCTCAGCTCAAATTCTTATTTCGCCCCCACTTCCCCGCGCCATTCGTTCGCACACTACGGCTTGCGGTCACGCGGGCACAAATTTTATTTCATTGTACATAAAGCTAATATTTCTAATATAAGTTGACCCTTCATTGTATGGAAAGCCTATACAATACGAGATCAGCTTATACTGGTAATTCATCTTATAGTGAAAGGATCCGCCCATTGTTGGTTTAGTAGTAAGCTTGAGTTTTATAGTATTATAGTTTTTGTATATTTGTAATGTGACAGCCATTTACGTATGTAATTATATTGGTAGTAGGTCTATGCAAGTACATATACATACCTATAAGATATTTTGCAAACCGATTCTAAACCACTGTATAAATTTTATAAATTCTACTGCTACAAAAAACTAGTCAAGCGCGAATCACCATTGCACTGAAAGTTCTGTAGGTACATTGGCTTGGTAGTAAGTTTACGCTTTGCATTTTACAATCTTATAAACTTATAACAATATAGTTTTCGCCTTGTATTACATACTACATATATATATATATATATATATATACTATATATGTACATATAGTATATATATACTATATATATATATATATATATATATATATATATATATATATATAGGATATATATACTATATGTACATATATAGTATATATTATGTATATATATAGTATATATATTATATATATATATATATATATATATATATATATATATATATATATCTGTGTGTGTGTTTGTCTGTGTGTGTGTGTGTGTGTGTGTGTGTGTGTGTGTGTATGTGTGTGTGTGTGTATATCAACGTCATTATCCTTCACAAATCCACTGCTGAACATTGACCTCCCCAGCTTTCATCTACTTATTGCCTGTCTTACCAGGTCGTCACTCCATCTACATCTAGTAGGGGGTCGCGCTACACTACGCCTACCGGTGCGAGGCTACCACTCGAGAACCTTTTTCCACATCGGTTTTTGGTTCTTCGATCTATATTGCGGCTATGTTGGTCACTCTGGTTATACTGCGGATATCCTCATTTCTAAGTTTATCACGCAGAGAAATCCTAAGTCATTTATATCTAAACAAATAAATAAAATTGAAGTGTCTGTTTGTAATGTTGAAATAACAGATTTTTAATATATGCATATGAAAGTATATACGGTATTTATAACAAAAACACGATTTTTTAAATTTTTGTCTGTCTGTTTGTTCCGGCTCTTCTCCGAAACGGCTGAACCGATTTGACCGGACTTTCACTGGCAGATCGCTGATGTTATAAGAAGTAACATAGGCTACTTTAATTTTAGAAAAAGAATTAGGGTTCCGCGCAAAAAAATTAACACCCATGAAATCTAATCGTAATAAATTACGCGCGGGCGAAGTCGCAAGGAACTGCTAGTCTATACAAATAATTAAAATTTAAGTGTCTGTATGTAATTCCAAAATTACAGCTTTTTACTAAATGCATATGAAAGAATATACGGTACTAATAACAAAAATATTTTTTTAAGGTTTTTGTCTACCTGTCTGTCTGTCCGTCTATCTGTCTGTTTGTTCCAGCCAATCTCCGAAACGGCTGGACCGATATTGACGGGCTTAGTAGCCGTGGCTTGGTCACCCGCGGTGAACTAAGAGGAACCCCTGGGTTGGCCCGTGGTGTAGGGCCGGCCCGAGGTGGCCGCTCCGAGTGGGCTTGGGAAGCCCACTTCGGATGTGTGTCGGTGGGCTGCGGTGAAAGGGGTGTCCGCTCCCTCTGCCGCTGCAGCCGAGGTGGAGTCGCGGAGGAAGAGGAGTGTTGGTATGGCGATGCGCCACTCGCCCTATCCTCCGCGACTCAGACGGGGCCGCACCGTTAAATGATGCGGTGGTGGTGGGGCTGCGGGGGGAGAGGAGTGTCGGTATTGCGAGGCGCCGCTCTCCCTACCCTACCCGCAGCCGAATCTTGGTTGGCGGCGGAGCCATAGACCAGATCCGTCGCTGGGGTCGGGAAGGCTGGTGCTTCTGAGTGCTAGTTCTTCCTGGCCCCATGGCCTCCGCGTATCGGACTCGGGGGGGTCCGTTACGCAGGTGGAGTTGGAGGCTGTGGAGGGGGGTAGCTGAACACCTCGCTACCCCGTGCAGGAGACGAGGCCCGGACAGACCGGGCCAGCACTAGTGTGGAGCTGCGGAAGAATTTGGGTTCCCGCGGCCCCGCGCGCACGTGCGAGGAGGCACCGTGGGGTTTTAGCCAGCAGGAGTCCAGCATAACCTTCCGGTTGCCCCCGCAGCCGGAGGTATCCATGAGGATTTCCCCACGAAAAAAAAAAGGTTAGGTTAGGTTAGGTTTGTATAAATATAAGATGTATAAATGTAATGGAATTTTATAATTCAGGTTCTACTCGTATATAAAACATTGCAAACTTAATATGAACCCATAATAGAACAATTATTTTATTCTTTTAGACTTCCTCGACTTCTTACTGGGATTATCACAACTTTTTTTTCAATAGTATTTTTAACTGTATTATTCAAAAATGTAATTGTTATTTATTAAAATAATTGTTATTCTTTATAGATTTTTAAATTTTCAGGTATTGCATTGTTTTATGTGACTGGTTTATTAAGCACAGTACTTTTAATTCATCTCGCAATGAATTGGTCGAAGCTAATTAGGAGAGTGCTTGAAATCGAAGCTAATTTAGTGGAAATACGAAGAGCAAAAACGGCGTTTTGGAAATACAACACCATTACTTACGTCATAATGTTCTTAGCATTACGTGAGTTTTTCTTTTCTACTTTTGTGGGACATCTATGATATCTAACTATGCGGAAAGATAACTTTTAATGACACACATGTTTTTGTGGGCAAACTATATTTTATTTATTTTTTCTCCATCATCATCAACATCATTACCCATGTATGTGTCTAATCAGGCTTATCAACACGTTCTCAGAAAACACCAGCATAAAATAGGAGCATTTTGTTTTTTACGTTTTTTGGTGACAAAAATTACCACAGATTAGCACAAAGATGCCCATGTCTCTATTGCATAAAGTCGATAATTTATGCGTCTCTAAATATAATATGATGAACCTTACTTTAACGTTGGTTGTAGGTATATCGAGCGGTATAGCCGATGCATTCCCACTGCTTGCTGATGCTGTTGCCGTTTAGCTAAATCAGTTACTTATCATTATAGCCTTTCATAAATCCACTGCTGAACATAGGCCTCTCCCAAGAAATGTCAAAAACACTGTCCTCAGCCACCTGCATCTATCAGGTTCTTTCATGTCTATCTGGTGGCTATCATCATATCGAAAACCATTCATTTCCATCGGTTGTTGGTTCTTCGAGATATATGGCCTGACCATAGCTACTTCATCATGCTGACTAGTTGGGGGATGTCAATCACTCATGTTTTATTTCGGACGTACTGTTAGGAGGGCCGCTCTGAAGGTGTTTTTAAAAAAAACTTTTACACCCAATCCCGGAAGTTCTTTTGGTTTATTTCCCCAATATTAAAATAATACAAAAAATGTACTAAACCCGCGAACGGCGTGTGCGATATGCACTTAATATGGGTTGGAGCTGCACTGCCTTGATTACCTCAAACACTACGCTTATATACGAAATAAAATAATCGGGTCAGCGCTTTTAACTAAATAGGGTTGGACATAACATCTCCCCCCTTTTGACGGAGCTCATCCTTCTTTTAAATAAGGGATGAGCAGAGTCTTACAAACAACACAGTGAAAATTAGAATAATTTGAATACAAAAATAATCATAAAATAGTTAAATAGAATTAGTTCAATTATTTTTTATTATTATGAAATCAAATAGAGTTGATACAAAGACATAGTAAAATAAAACTATTCTCAAACAATATCTTCACAAAATTATTAAACTTATTTATTGACATTATGAACTAGTATATTTTTATAAGATTCAGTGAACAATGAAATAGTAAAAGATTGAGTGAATAATGAAATATTAAAAGATTCAGTGTTGAATTAGTAATTTTTTTTTATTTCAAATATAAACATTTAATAATATTAATATCTAAGACACAATGTATAAAATAAAAGAAATATAACTTAATATAATGTATGTAATATAATTATAATGTAACATAAAATTTATGGTATAAGTATAGTCAAGTAATATAGTAATTAATTATTACATAAGTTTCGATTTGATAACTTGAATTTACCAAATGTTCTTTTCATTTGAATTTGCACTGGCATGTTGGGTAAAGATATAGAATCCTTTTTATCATCGTCTGATGATGAGACTTCACTTAACTCAATAGAATTACTAACTTTTGATTCGTGTTTAACAATTCGTCGTGTATTGCACTGATTAAATATTTGTATACAACAGCAAGAATCGTTATTTCTCTTAATAAAGCAACAAAACATTTTATAGGAAACATATAAAATAAAACAAATGATCAAGAAGTATGTAAACGATGAATAGTAATTACCATATTTAATGATGTGAGATTGTTCTTGAACCTTATTGATCTCACTTTCTATGTTATTTAAGGAGTGATAAGAATATTTTAGAGTGTCCATGTCTAGGCTAGTTAGAGATATAGGGGATAAGTAGGGAATCGATTTATTTAAAACTTCCTTATTACAATAATCGTCTTCTGTAATATTAAAGTTTAATTTCATTTTATTTTCAATTTTAATAGATTTAGTTGTAGATGGTGATAATTGAATTGTCTTAGAAAAACCAATACAGCTTTCATTTAAACTTAGGATACCTGTTCCTAAAATAGTAAAATCTTGTATTATATTATTACATTTTATAGTTGATTTACATTTTTCAGATTGTACATAGATAAACTTATTATTACTTATTTTATACCATACATCGATTTGTCGATATAAAAGTTTAGAGTTACATTGAGATGGCAAGGATAACGTTACTTCAGTTAACAATTTCGTTTCACAAGATGGGTTCTTTATTGTAGAAAATATAGAAATTAAAGGACATATAGAATAATCATTACTGATAATATTACAATCATTTAAATTATCTAACAAACTATAACTAAGTCTATCTTCTGTTATTCCAAGATAAGGCTTGGTGGGTTGAATTAGGTCGAAAGAGTTAGGATTACTAAGATTATGAGGATTTGGTAAGGGTATGCATTTGTATAAAGTGAACCTTAAAGAAGAAATCAGTGGTATGCGTAATATGAAAATTATTCTTTGTTTATAATAGAAAGATGTGAGTTTTGAAATATCTATCAAAGTATGTATATTTCAAACGTTTATGGCACTGGAAAATCTAGTCGCTTATTTATATAGTTACTCTGTTTTAATAGCTCGCGAAATAAGTTTGTAGGACTTATCACACTAGGATGTAAAATGTTTACCTTAGAAAATAAGATAGAGTTTAGTACATTATCTAAGAAATTAGAAATAGTGGCCAAAGAGCTTTCTATTATATTAAGTAAAGCATATACTCGTATTTTAGAGATGTGTGATAATTGGTCATTGTTTTTGACAATTTGGGATAACACAATATTTAAAGAATTTATTTGAGAATTTAATTTATTTTCATTCATATTTAGTTTATATATTGTTGAGTTAAAAACATTAATAGACGATTGAATTATGTGGATATTATCCTTCATTAGTTTTAGTAGTTCGGATTCGCTATTTTGACAAGCGCTAATGGCTGCATCGTACTTTCGTGCATCATCAGCATCTAGAGTTCCAAAAAAGAATTTTAAAAATTCTCCACCGAATTCTAAAGCTCGTTTATGCCTTGTTTGTTTCTCGGTAGAAACTATATACGACAAAGATTCGACTTTAGCAAAATTTGAATTTAATAATACTTCAATAGGGCTTATGATATCATTACATTCAACGAAACCACGGAGTTGCAAGTTTTTGCAGAGCGTCGCAGTTTTGATTATAAGTGAATGTATATTGTCTAGATGTGGCTTAAGTGAAACTACGTCTATATGCGTTACAACATTCCAAAAATCGTTATAAAAATTAATTGTAGTTATTTGATCGAAATAAATACCTGGACTATTATAAATAGGTAGAATTTACTGCTTTAGAGTTTCAGCGTTGAATTGGTGGCTTATGGCCCTGAAATAAAGTGAAATTAGGGATGAGTTGGTTTAATTTCATTAATATGGTATTTCACATGCTTACGACCTATGAGAAGAGTAACATTATGTTTGCTATTTAATTTAATTATTTTATAAGGACCTTTCCAGATAGGGGATAAGGCTTTGCGAAGTCTATGGTGACATTTTAAATAAACCATATCACCTGTTTTGTAGAATATATTTTTACTATTTGTGTCATAATATTTTTTCGATGTTTCTTTACTTTTGATTATGTGTTCTAATGCCTTTTGTCGACTAAGATTCATGCGATATTGTAATGCGCGGATGTATTCATGATAAGTTGTATCGTTACTCGTATTATATAAAGAATTAGGTATTGTTGGTTTATGCCCATATAGTAATTCATAGGGTGTATATGTAGTAGTGGTATGAGGGGTAGTGTTGTAGGAAAATACTGCAGTGGCTAAATAACAATGCCAATCATTCTGGTTTTCGTTAACAAAAGATTTAAGATATTCCTTGAGTGTAGCATGGCTACGCTCTAAGGCACCATTTGTTTGTGGGTGATAGGGGGTAGCATGTAAGGGTTTTATTTTAAATATTTCAATTACCTGTTTAAATAATTCCGACGTGAAACATGTGCCGAGATCTGTCAATATCTTATATTTACGCGAACACTACACATTTTTAAATAAAACTAATTTTACGGATTTTATCGCGTATATTAACTTATTTTTAACTTATTTTTATATTCCCGACGTTTCGGGTGCTTTCCAGCACCCGTGGTCACGGTGACCACGGTGAGTCCCCCGTGACCACGGGTGCTGGAAAGCACCCGAAACGTCGGGAATATAAAAATAAGTTAAAAATAAGTTAATATACGCGATAAAATCCGTAAAATTAGTTTTATTTAAAAATCTGTCAATATCGTTTTGGGAATTCCGAACAGAGAGATAAAGTGAACTAATGTACGAGCTACTTCGTTACTGCTGGAAGTTATCATTGGATATACACATAAGAATTTGGTTAGGTCATCTTGTAGGGTTAATATGAATTTGAAGTTTTGTAAACCAGCTTCGGGTAGAGGACCGACTATATCTAGAGCTAATCTTTCGAATGGTTTTGTGCTTGTAGAAGTTATCACCATTGGAGCCTTATTACATGTTCTTAGTGGTTTATTTACTTGGCACAACTTACAATTTTTAACATAATTTTCTATGCCGGAGCGCATGTTTTTCCAAAAATATAGATCTTTTAAGCGGTTTAACATCCTTTTAATTCCGGGGTGACCAGCAATTGTTGAGTCGTGTATTTCTTTGAGAATTCGTGGAATTTCGGCAGGAGTAGGGTAAATAATTTGATTTCGGTATATATGAATTTTAATATTAGTATTGTGAAATATGTAGGCAATTATATTGTATATTTTTGTATAGGATAGTTTAGAGAATAGGTCAGCAAAATCGGAAAAGGCTAAGTCAGTGATTTGGCTATTTCTTGTTATAATATTGTCGCGTAGTTGCATTAATAAATTGTAAATATTTCGGTATGTTAACTCTTCGTAATGGTGGATTTTTATATACAAGAAATAAAACGTTTTATTATTCTCCTTAATATAAGAGATAGAGTAAGGTTCTCGTTCTGAGTTTATTAAACCTTCAGAGTTTTGCAACTGGGACAG